GACGAAAGTTATGATTGTGACAAAAAAAAAGATGAAAATTGTGATTTTAATGGAGAATTTTTTTTATTTTAGAGAGATTAATGTGATTTTGAACATTTTAGCTTGTTAGGTTTATTAATCAGTGATCAAGAACAATTTATCAAAAAAATTACGATTTGAAAATTTTATAAATATAAAATTATGATAGGTTATTAAGTTTTAATTAGAAAGTTTCAAATTGTTGATATTTTTCGTAATTTTAGTTACTAAAATATCAATTTTGAATTTATTATATTTATTTTGATTTTTAAGTAAATTTTCTCTTTTCAATTTTTATTTTTAACTATCTAACCGCAATCGTCCGCAACCGCAAACGCTCGAGGGAATGAGTTTTTGGATTTGAGAGGTTTGGAGCGATACGGAGCAGTATAAAGCGTTTTCCATGTTAGTTGTCAAACGCCAACAACTGCTATCGCCCGCAAACGTAGCGTTTACAGATGGTAGCGGGTGAACCAATCAATCTTTTAATAAACTGTGAAATTTGGTTAAAAATCAGAAAGAATGATGTTTAAAAAAAAAAAAATCAGAAAGAATCGAAAAATATCCAAGGAAAGTGAGATGTGTTAAGTGGTCTATAGAGAACATATTATTTTATTTTTGGTGTGAAAAATACAAATCAGTAATTCTAAGAAGCGAACCAAAAAGTTGAGAGACAAACGAATATGAGACAAAATTTCGAGGTCAAAGAAAATAAATTGTTTTTTGAGGAAAAAAAAAGAAAAAAAAGTATTCAACAGCAGAAATGAGATCGCGTTCTCACTGAACAGTGATTGTTTTTAATTTTTTAGCTGCTCCAGGTTAACATGGGTTACAAAACTAAATTTTGATTTCAAATCCAGTCTGCTCAGTGCTCACTAACCTATGAGGAGGAGGATTACCACCCCTTTCCAACTCTCACATCGACTTGAGCGGTGGAATCCATCAACAAGTTTCATGACTAGCAGATCGAGAGACAAAAATTAACTATGAAAAAAAAACTAGTATTAAATTTATCAAAGTTTATGACCTATCAAATAAAATTACATTACATTTCTAAAATTATAGATACAATAACAAAAATATATCTCTAGATAACATGAATG